TGGGACTCCAACTCAAAAAAAAAAAAAAAAGAATAAACTATGTTCTAACTGCCACAAGGTTTTTTGTTTTTGTTTTTGTTTTTCTCTAGCAGCTAAACAAGCACTGGCCTGTAGGTAAGCAATTATGTCATCTCAGCACTTTGGGAGGCTGAGCCAAGAGGATCGCCTGAGCCCACGGGTTCGAGACTGGCCCGGACAACTTGGCGAGACCTTGTCTCTACAATTAAAAAAAAAGAAAATCAAAAATTAGCCGGGCATGGTAGCGTTTGCCTGTAGTTCCGGCTGATTGCCAGAGCCCAGTGGGTCGACTCTGGGGTGGCCGTGAGCATGCCACTGCACTCCAGCCTGGATGATGGAGTGAGACTCTGAATCAAAAAAAAAGAAAAAAAAGAAAAAGAAAAGGGAAAAGAAAAGAAAACAATTATAATGTCACAGATGCTGACTCCTGGTGCCTGTTCTATCAGTGGTTAGTATGTACAGCTTTTGATTGAATAAACTTTTGATTGACTGATTTCAGTAACTTTCTTCTGGTAAATAGACCCCTGACCACAGACTAGTCCTGGCCAGTTTACAGAGACTGTGTGCTTAATGTGCCTTCAAGCCCTGAAAAGACCTTTGACATATAGGGCGTAGTTGTAATACATTTAAATGTTAAGTCTCCACCCTGGAGTGAACATGGGTGGTATGTTTTGTGCGTGTTTGTCCAATGTACATGTGTCTGGACCATCATCATGAATATTCATAGCTCCTCCTGTAACCTGTTGAATATGTTTAGCCAATTGGGCCTAAAACTCCTCCCCCAACACCTCCACCTTCCAAGTGTTTCTGGTCTGGCCAGAGGCCGATTCTTGGCTTATAGGGTTGGCCACCCTGCAGGCTGGTAACCCTTTAGCACTGCACTCCAGTCTGGGCGACAGAGTGAGACTCCAGCTCAAAAAAAAAAGAAATAAAATCTCCAGCCGGGCTCGGTGGCTCAGCCTGTAATCCCGCGCCTTTGGGAGGCTGAGGTGAGTGGATTGCCTGAGCCCGCGGGTTCGAAACCCGCCTGGGCAGCAAGACCTCATCTCTACAATAAATAAAAAAATCAGCTGGGCGTGGTAGCGCATGCCAGTAATTCTGGCTACTTGGAAGGCTGAGGCGGAAGGATTGCCAGAGCCCAGCAGGTCGAGGCTGCGGTGGCTGGGAGCGGCCACTGCACTCCAGTCTGGGCAACAGAGTGAGATTCCAGCTCAAAAAAAAAAAAAAAAAGAAAGAAAGTCTCCTTGCCTTTGCTAAATTTATACATTCTGGGTTTTGTTTTGTTTTTGTTTTTTGTTAACAGGGGTTAAAGGATTTTTTATTTTGTTAAATAATGGATGATATTAGAGCATTGATGGGAAGAAGTGATAATGCAGAAGAAAGTAGAGGACAAATACTGGAGCAAACTCCTTGAGTAGGGGAAAAAGAATGTGATCCCTAGAATAAATAGAATGACTGGCCTTAGGAAGGCATACCTTGGTTCACTGAGATTAACACGAGAGAAGGAGAACTATATGGGCAGGTTGGTAAACTGGTGGTTTCTTTTTTTTTTTTTTAATTTAAGTGCAGTGGCACAATCAGGGCTACTTTAACCTCTACCTGCTGGGCTCAGGAATCCTTCAGCCTCAGCCTTCCAAATAGCTGGAACTATAGGCGTCTGCCACCATGCCAGGTTAATTTTGTGATTTATTGTAGAGACAAGATCTCACTTTGTTGCCCAGGCTTGTCTCAAACCCCTGGGCTCAGGCAATCCTCTCGACTCTGCCTAGGTTGGTAAACTGTTGATGGAAGATCTTTCCTGGAAGCATCTATTAACTGAGAATGAAAAAGATCATCTTTCATTGAGGAGGGAAAAGAAGGTATTGGAGGTCTAAAGGAGAGAAGATACACATAATTGTGTGGAGAGTGAGATTTAATAACAGGGCTTGGGTGCCAGGCCCAAGAACTCACTTGAGCCATGAATTTTGAGTGAGACCAGGCATAGTGATTGTGTTTAGCTGTTAAGCTGCAGGGGTGGAGTAGGCAGAGAACTGATTTTTTTTTTGTGAGTTGAGTCTCACTCCGTTTCCCAAGCTGGAGTGTAGTGGCACACTTACGGCCACTCCAGCATTGACCCTTTGGGCTCTGGCGATCCTTCCGCCTCAGCCTTCTGAGTAGCTGGAACTACAGATGCATGCTACCACGCCCAGCTATTTTTTTTTTTTTTGTAGAGATGAGGTCTCCCTGGGCTGGTCTCGAACCTGTGGGCTGAAGCAATCCACTCACCTCGGCCGCCCAAAGTGCTGGAATTACAGACTGAGCCACCAAGCCTGACCAAAAACTGATTTTTTACAGGGACTTGGGTTTTGCCAGATAAATCTGGCAAAGAGATTTTTAAGGGGCCAGGGAGCTGATGATGTGTTCAAGTTAATCATTATAATAATATGAAGGAAGTTAAGAGTGAAGAGACAAAATAATTAGATGTTCTGGTGGTTCAAGGACTGTTGGAAGATCTAAAGGGATTAACCTAGAATGTGAGGCGGTGGTGGCTGAATTTAAGATTATAGAGGGATGGCAGTAATTGATAAAGTCTACGGTTATGGACCATGGAAGTAAGTGAGTGGCTGAGGTAGAATGAAAGACAAGGTTAGCTGGGCGCGGTGGTTCGTGCCTGTGATCCCAGCACTTTGGGAGGCGGAGATGATGAGAGGATTGCCTGAGCCTGCGGGTTTGAGACCAGCCTGGGAAACATGGTGAGACCTCATCTCTACAATAAAAACTAAAAAAAAAAAATTAGCTGAGTGTGGTGGCGCACACCTGTAGTTCTGGCTACTTGGAAGGATTGCCTGAGCCCAGCAGGTCAAAGCTGCAGTGGCTGTTGAGTGTGCCACTGCACTCCAGCCTGGGTAACAGAGTGAGACACCGACTCAGAAAAAAAAGACAAAGTTATTGGAGAGGAGGTCAAGGAACTGAGAGTCCAGGGTATTGGTAAGGTCACCTACATGGACATTTGAAACCAGTCCAATATCTCCATAGAACTAATGGTTACAGTTTTTGGAATAAACATGGAAATTGACACGCCTGGTCTTAAAGCTTGAAACTTACATTTGTCTTATCTGAGTTCCTTTCTCAGGAAACCAATTCTCAGACCTGTAGTATGGAGAAACTGAATCCCAGCAGGTCACAGCCTCCAGATAATAAGATACCGGACCCCACCTGTTTGCCAACTCTTCTTATCCCTCCTCAATTCCTGTTTACCAACTGCTCTTCCTTACCACTCCCTAGTTCCTATTTTCTACATTCTTGCCCCACTATATAAACTCCTGGCTTTGGTGGGATGGAGAGACGGATTTGAGATAATCTCCTTGGTGTATATCATCCAAATAAAAAGGTTTCTTCCCCTACAATATTTGTTGGCTTTCTGCCATGAGCAACAGGGCCCCAAATGAACCCCTGGCGTCTCGGAAACATTGAAATTCAACTTGGGCAACATACTGAGACCCCATTTCTACAAAAAAAAAAAATTATCTGGGTGTGGTGGTGTGCTCCTGTAGTCAGCTACTCGGGAGGCTGAGGCACAAGGATCAGTTAAGCCCAGGAGTTAGAGGCTACAGTGAGCCAACAATTGCACCATTGCACTTCAGCCTGGGCGACACAGTGGACCCTGTCTCAGAGGAAAAAAAAAATAAAGATGTGGAAATTACCCCAAATTAACCCAGGGGCAATGTTGGAGAGAGAAGAAATTCAGTGCTAAATCTTAGAATGAGATCCAGCAAATCAGAGATCTTTTAGATGCCTTCCACAGTGAAGAGTTATGGGTGCCAGTATAAACTTCACCGTGTGATTTTCGGGAGGCAGAAGGCACTAATTGCCAGAGATGGCAATAAGCAATAAGTAGGTTACCCAACCCACTTCCAGGCCCTGTTGTACGTGGAGTTTGCAAGAGAAGACAGCCATCAGTTGAGAGGACTGCAGGGGGAAGCTGCATGGGGGCAAGAGAGCAAGATTTCGGTGAGAGCAGGAAGATGAAAGGCTCACTCAGCATTTGAGGGCCAAGAAAATGTGTGCTCGTGAGAGAACTGAGGCTCAGAGGTTAGGTGACTTGATTGGATGCAGCTGGTGAGAAGAGCTGAGGATGGAAGCAGTGCTTTTCCCACACCCCGAGCCACAGTACTCCAACTACACTTTTTTTTTTGGTCGGAGTCTTACTCTGTCGCCCAGGCTGGAGCGCAGTGGCACGCTCACGGCGACCGCAGCCTCGACCTGCTGGGCTCCGGCGATCCTTCCGCCTCAGCCTTCCAAGTAGCGGGAATTACAGGCGCGCGCCACCATGCCCGGCTAAGTTTTTGATGTGTTGTAGAGATGGGGGGGTGGGTCTCACCACGTTGCCCAGGCTAGTCTCGAACCCAGGTGATCCTCTCGTCTCCACCTCCCAAAGGGCTGGGATTACAAGCGTGAGCCACCGCGCCCGACCACCTGCAGTTTTTATCTGACAAAACAACTAGCGTAAAGGAGCAAAAGGGCGCCAAACACCAGTTCCGAAACAAAGCCCCCACTGGCTCCGCAAAAGAGCGGCTGCGCAAGCGCAGGCCAAGCCGCAAGGCGCGCAAGGCCCGGTGGCTCTTGTAGTTTCGCGGCTGGGCGTAGCCGGAAGGGACGGAGGAACGGGCGCGTTGCTTGGCGGGAGATACAGTCCTCCAAGGAAGTCCCGCCTCCTTCGGAAGCCAGGCGGCGCAGGCGCAGTCCGCTCTTCCTGAAGCGCGGGAGTCTCGGTTTGTTGGTGGCTCCGCTCGGGCGGCGGTGGTCCGGCCGCGGCGGGAGGCTCCGTCTCCCCGAGACTTGACTGGGAGGCGAAGCAGCTCCGGGCGAGAGAGGAGCGGACGGCGGGTCTTGGAGGGGCGGCGGCGCCCTCCGTCTGCGCGGAGGGAGGGGTCCGGAGGGCCCTCGGAGTCCGCCCGGGCCTGCGTGTCCCTTTCTCTGCCGTCGCCGCGCCCGCCGCCAAGATGAGCTCGGCCTCCGCCCCCTCTTTCGAGAAGCAGCACCTCTGGATGTATCTGCAGGCGCTCGGCTTCGACCCCGGCCCGGCCACCGCCGCCTGCGGGAAGGTCGTGTCGCACACGCACCTCGGAGTGTAAGGAGGCCGGGGCCGGCGGGGAGGGGGAAGCCCGCGCCGGGGGGCGGGGAGGCCTCGGGGGCGACCCGCCCTTCCTTGGCGGCGCCCGCGGGCTCATCCACGGTGGAGCGTTGCGGTGTGGCCAGCCGACGGCCGATGGCATCAAGTGCTCCGGCCTCTGTTTCTCCTTTCAAAAGATCCCCAAAGTGTCTTGGTCTCCCCTACCGTGCCATTGCACGGGGTGGGTAGCTCTCAGAAGACGCCCTTTCTCCTCCTCTGCCTTTCCTCTGTTGACCTTTTCCAGCTGTGTTGGGAGCTCTTGCCGTCCAGGCTTGGAGCCGGGGTGGAGTTTTTGTTTGCTAACTATTTTTGAGACGTTACTGCTGTCCACGTATGAAGTGCGTTGTCCGTTTCGAAAACGGACCACCCGTGGGGTGGCATTCACCAGGTTCTGATGAGGCCTTTCTCTGTTTTTTTGAGTCGGAGTCCCACTCTGTCGCCCAGGCTGGAGTGCGGTGGCACGCTCACGGCCACCGCAGCCTCGACCTCCTGGGCTCAGGCCATCCTCCCCCCTCAGCCTTCCAAGTAGCTGGAACCACAGGCTGCGCGCGCCACCACACCCGGCTAATTTTTGTTTTTGGATTTATTGTAGAGACAAGGTCTCACCAAGTTGCCCGGGCTGGTCTCGAACCCGCCGGCTCAGGCAGTCCTCTCACCTCGGCCTTCCAAAGTGCTGGGATTATAGGCGTGCGCCACCCTGCCCACCCCTCCTTTTATGGTTGAGTCATATTCTGTTGTGTATATACCATATTATCTTTATCTGTTCACCTGTTGATGGACGCTTAATGTGCTGCAGTAAACATGAGCGTGCAGACAGCTCTTCCCTATACAGCTTTCCTTCCTTTTGGATGTATTCCCCATAGTGGAGTAGCTGGGTCATATGGCAGTTGCATGTTTAGTTTTTTGAGAATCTTCCATATGGTTTTCCATAATGACTGTACTGCTTCACATCCTCTCACCAGCACATGATTGTTCCCTTTCTCTGCAGGATCCACCATCTCGAAACCGATGTCTCCTTTAAAATGCTTTAAGTTTGAATGTGGCACCAAATTTGCTTAAAAAATTAAGCAAGTTCTGCCAGTCTTTTGCTATTGGATCTGTTTTTAAAATTATGTATTTATTTTTATTTTTGAGTCAGGGTCTCCCTCTGTTGCCTAGGTTGGAGTACAGTAGCATGGAACACAGTCATGGCTCACTGCAGCCACAAACTCCTGGGCTCAGGTATCCTTCCACCTGCCACGACGGCTGGCTTATCTTTTGATTTTTTTGTAGAGAAGAGGTCTCCTTTTGTTGCCCAGGCTGGTATTGAACTCCTGAGCTTAAGCATTCCTCTGGCCTCTGCCTCCCAAGGTGTTGGGATTGTAGGCATGAGGCACCACGCCTGGCATGGATCTGTGTTTTAAGAATCAGTAAATAAGCCGAGCTCGGTGGCTCAGCCTATCATCCCGTGCCTTTGGAGGCTGAGGTGAGTGGATTGCCTGAGCCCGCGGGTTTGAGACCTGCCTAGGCAACTTGGCGAGACCTCATCTTTACAATAAAGCAAAAAATTAGCTGGGCGTGGTAGCATGCGCTTGTAGTTCCAGCTACTTGGAAGGTTGAGGTGGAAGGATCGCCAGAGCCCAGCAGGTCAAGGCTGCGGTGACTGGGAGTGGCCAGTGCACTCCAGTCTGGGTGACAGAGTGAGGCTCCAACTCAAAAAAAAAAAAAAAAAGCATCAGTAAATAAAAACTTGTATGTTTTTCTTAATTGGTTACACACTATACATAAATGAGAAAAATTAATTTGCCTCGACCTCTTGAGGAGAATGAAAAATACTAATTTGTGTCTCTTATGCAGCTTTCGATGTTTAGTTTATTAACCATTTTCCTTTTTTTCCCCCTGACTTCTGTTTCATTTTTAACCACTAGGAACATGTTTGACAAGCAGAACCGTGATGCCTTTTATATAGTTTCTTATTTTTTGTTTCAAACGCTGGACCAGTCTCTCACCAAAGAAGTTTTCAAGTAAGGAAACATGATTTCATTTTCTTTTCTTAAGTAGTTATTTGCAAATCTGAAAATGGACTATGTGTTAATGTAGTTTCTTATTTTTTCATTTTTATTTTTTGAGTTGGAGTCTCATTCTGTCACTCAGACTGGAGTGCAGTGGCCGTTCCCAGCCACCGCAGCCTCGACCTGCGGGGCTCCGGCGATCCTGCCTCCTCAGCCTTCCAAGTAGCTGGAACTACAGGCGCGCACTACCACGCCCGGCTAATTTTTTGATCTGTTGTAGAGATGAGGTCTCGCCTGCACAGGTCTCGAACCCGTGGGCTCAGGCAATCCACTCACCTCAGCCTCCCAAAGGCGCGGGATTACAGGCTGAGCCACCGAGCCTGGCTGTGTTAATGTAATTTCAACTTGACCTTTACCTGTTGTTTTGAATGGATTTTACAAAATTCAGGTTTGAGTCTTAAAAATTTATTGGTTAACCTTTATAAACCTAGGTGATTTTTCTTTGGTACAGCTCTTAAAATATTTGTGTAGCTTACAGATAGTATAGTTTTTATTTTATAAAATTAGTTCCTAATATTCTTTATGTTCTTTTTCATTTTTTATTTTTTTGAGTTGGAGTCTCACTCTGTCGTCCAGGCTGTAGAGCAGTGGCATGCTCACGGCCACCACAGCCTCAACCTGCTGGACTCAGGTGATCCTTCCGCCTCGGCTTTCCAAGTAGCTGGAACTACAGGCACGTACTACCATGCCTGGCTGTTTTTTTTTTGATTAATTGTGGAGATGAGATCTTGCTAAGTTGCCCAGGCTGCTCTCAAACCCCTGGGCTCAGTCAATCCTCTCACCTCAGCCTCCCAAAGTGCTGGGATTACAGGTGTGAGCTACCGCACCTGGCCTCTTTTTTTTTTTGTTTGTTTGAGTTGGAGTCTCACTCTGTCTCCCAGACTAGAGTACAGTGGCACGCTCCTGGCCACCGCAGCCTCGACCTGCTGGGCTCCGGAGATCCTTCTGCCTCAGCCTTCCAAGTAGCTGGAACTACAGGCTCCCGCCACCATGTCTGGCTAATTTTTTTGTGATTTATTGTAGAGATGAGGTCTCACCAAGTTGCCTAGGCTGGTCTTGAATCCTTGGGCTTCCAGTAATTTTTAATAGTGGCTCATTTAGTGTTTTTTTGATTTATTATAGTTATTTGCATTAAACTGGACCAACCTTTGAGGTATTTATAAAGAAAAAATTTTAATTTCTCACAGATTGATGTATCTTTAGTTGTAATAAAGAATGTTAGGTTCATTTAGCTTTACTATTTCTAGTATATGAAATAAGTTTAATATTTTAATAAAATATTTTTATTATACTTAAATATTATAAAATAATATATTTGTTCATAATTCTGACATTTTTACTTTTGTTTTTAAGATTATGTTGGCCTCCATTTGACCAAAAAAGTGATGCTGAATTCCGGAAACATTGCTGCGAATGGTTAAAAAGGATTTCTGTAAGTATTCTCCTTTTGGAAGATGGAAATTTTTTTCTTGAAAGTAGGATTTATTGAGAAGACAGAAAAAAGCTCCCTCCTTGAAGGAGGTTGCCTGGAAATTTTTTTTTTTTTTTTCTGAGTTGGAGTCTCACTCTGTTGCCCAGGCTGGAGTGCAGCGGCAGGCTCCCAACCTGCTGGGCTCTGGTGGTCTTTCTGCGTCAGTCTTCCAAGTAGCTGGAACTACAGGCATGTGCTACCATACCCGGCTAGTTTTTGATTTATTATAGACATGAAGTCTCACCAAGTTGCCTGGGCGGGTCCCGAACCCGCGGGCTCAGGCGTTTCTCTCGCCTCGGCCTCCTAAAGTGCTGGGATTACAGGATGAGCCACCGAGCCCAGCCTGTTTTTTATTTTATTTTATATTGAGTTGGAGTCTTACTCTGTTGCCCAGGCTGGAGTGCAATGGCACGCTCAACAGCCACCACTGCAGCTTCGACCTGCTGGGCTCCGGCGATCCGTCCGCCTCAGCCTTCCAAGTAGCTGGAACTACAGGTGTGCGCTACTACGCCTGGATTGTTTTTTGATTTATTGTGGAGATGAGATCTCACCAAGTTGCCCAGGTTGGTCTCAAACCCCTGAGCTCAGGTAATCCTCTCACCTTGGCCTCCATGCCTAGCTGGAAATTTTTTAGAAGAAAAACTATTAATCTTTTAGAGGTGAATTTTTTTTTTTTTTTTTTTTTTGGTTG